GCGCTATTTGTCATGATTTTTATGTTGACGATTTTTTGTCTGGTCATGATACAATTGAAGGCTGTATATCATTATGTCAAGGTGTTATTGATACACTTAATTCAGCCAAATTTAATTTAAGAAAGTGGCATTCAAATAATTTGTTTATTTTAAATAGTATAAACCAAAATAATGAGATATCTAGTAGCGTAGATCTTAGTGCAAAAGAATGTGCAAAAACGTTAGGTATTTATTGGAAGTGTTCAACTGATTATTTATCATTTTCTATTAATATTACACCGCAAGATAAAGTAACAAAGAGATTTATTTTGTCTACAATTTCGCAAGTGTTTGATCCTCTAGGTTTAGTATCACCATGCATTGTTGAAGCAAAAATATTAATGCAAAAATTGTGGATACATAAATGCTCTTGGGATGAAAGGGTCCCAAAAGACATAGAAATTATTTGGTCAGAGTTTATACAGTTTCTACCACAGTTAAATAAACTTGAAATTCCTAGGTGCATTAAAAACGACAAAACAAATAAAACAGAAATACATATATTTACAGATGCTTCGGAGAAGGCATATGGTACATGCATATACATAAGAAGTATAGCTAGCGATGAATCAATTGATGTCCGTCTTTTGGCTTCCAAAAATAAGATAGCTCCAATTAAAACCACCACCATTCCACGACTTGAACTATGTGGCGCGCTCTTAGGAGCACGACTATTCATGAAGGTAATGACGTCGGTTACTCTTGAATTTAGTCGTAGTGTATTTTGGACTGATTCTACCATCGTCTTAGGCTGGCTCTCTTCTCCACCAAACCATCTTAAACCATTCATACGTCACCGAGTTTTAGAAATACAAGAAAATTGTCATTATTGGCGGTATGTACCTACTAAATCAAACCCGGCAGATTTAGTGTCTCGAGGTGTTAGAGCAGATTTATTAGGTAATTCTTCGTTGTGGTGGACAGGCCCTGCCTTTTTAAAATTAGATTCCTCTCAATGGCCAACTAATCCAAATAAATACACTTCCAATTTACCAGAAACAATTCAAACATTCCATATTAATAACAAGCTATCAATAAATAATAATAACACCAATTTAATTTCATCACTAATAAATAAATTTTCATCGCTTACAAAATTACAACGTGTACTTGCATGTGTCTTAAGGTTCATTAATAACTGCCATAAAAATGCAAGTAAATTACACAATAACTTGTCATTATTAGAATTAAATAATGCCACAAATGTTCTATTACGTACAGCTCAGCAGGATTCATTCCCTGAGGAACGTGAGTTACTATTACTCAATAAGCATTTACCCCATAAAAATAGACTTCTGTCATTGACACCGTTTGTTGGTTCTGACTACCTCATCCGCGTGGGTGGCAGGCTTAGTGATTCTCACTACGACTACAACGTCAAACATCCTATCCTTCTATCAGGTAAACATCGCTTATGTGAATTACTATTCGAAATGCTTCATAAAAAACACATGCACTCTGGTCCACAATTACTACTAGCCACCGCCAGACATAATTATTGGCCAATAGGCGGCACTATTTTAGCGAAACGTATAGTTCGTTCATGTGTTAGGTGCAGTAGATTCAAGGGGAAGACTGTCCAACCCTTGATGGGTAACCTACCAGAAAAACGAGTCCATTTAGAATTTCCCTTCTTAGAAACAGGTGTCGATTATGCTGGACCAATGCTGATAGCTGACCGCAAAGGTAGAGGCTGTAAACTTATAAAATCATATATTTGTGTGTTTGTGTGTCTAGCCACAAAGGCCGTGCATCTGGAGCTTGTCTCTGATTTAACCAAAGAAGCTTTTATTGCAGCACTACACAGGTTTATAGCACGTCGAGGTAAGCCGCAGACGCTGTTCTCGGACAACGGCACGACCTTTGTTGGAACTTTCCATGAGCTCTCCAAACTTCTCACACAATCATCCTTGACTTCGGGTTTAGCTGAAATAGGTATCAACTTTTCATTCATACCTGCCTACACTCCTCACTTCGGTGGTTTATGGGAGTCACTCGTGCGATCCGTAAAACATCATCTTAGGCGCGTTTTGGACATGACTCACTTAAACTATGAAGAAATGGCTACTCTTCTTATTCAAATAGAAGCCATCCTAAATTCTCGCCCCCTCACACCTCTATCTGATAATCCATCCGACTTATATCCCCTTACTCCTGCTCACTTCCTTGTTGGACGATCTCTGATCTGTTTGCCACATCCTGATATCGTCAATCGCCGAGCTAGCTCTCTTCAGCGTTTCCAACGCATCGAGCTACTCAAGCAACACTTCTGGAGTCGATTTTCTAATGAGTATGTTGTATGGCTCCAACAGAAAACCAAATGGCACCGGTCCTATGGCGAGCTGAAAGAGGGAATGTTCGTCGTTATCAAGGAGAAGACGTCTGCCCCCTTGATGTGGCTTCTGGGACGCGTTGTACGTGTCCTGCCTGGAAGAGACGGCGTAGCAAGGGTTGCAGACATCCAAACGAAGAGGGGTGTCATTCGCCGGGCATACAATACCATATGCCCCTTGCCTGTCAAGAGCTTTGAACTTGGCACTTCAACGCGGGGAGTCTATGGTCAAGCCATAAACAGCGAGCGCGATGATGTCCCCGGGGAGACCCGGGGGCGCGGGGCGTCGGACAATATAGCTGCGGCCGGCTGCCGGCCGCACTCAGCGACACACTGATTTTTAACGCCGTAACAACCGCACGCGCATCTTTAGTTTATTTTCATAGCGTTCCGTATTATTAATGTCGGGCTAAAGCGTTGTAATATAAAGTTCTAGTAATAAACGCATTGGAGAATCTATAACAGTCCACTCTTTCACTCCCTGACGCCTCCAGTATCAGCTTCATAATTGCAAAGTTCTATCAAAATAGTTCAATAATTTTTGCGTGAAAGAGTAACAAACGTCCATCTATTTACACATACTCACAAACTTTAGTGATTATAATATTAGTAATATTCGTATATACAAAACTTTCTTAATTATATACTAGCTACACGCCCAGGCTTCGCACGGGTGTACATGTATTATATATATAAACCATCCTCTTAAATCACTCTATCTATTAAAAAACCGCTTCAAAATACGTTGCGAAGTTTTAGTATACAAAGGGACGGACAGACAGCGACAGCGACTTTATTTTATTCTATGTAATGATGACTAGTCAATGAACATGACAGTCTCATAGATGGAGTAGATAAAACTATTTTATTGTGAATCACTGAAGCTTTACAAAATACATGAAGATCACGTCTAATCGTACAGATACCATGGTTTTCTGCTCAATAAATTGCAGCAGCTATGGTGTTTTATAGGCCATTAAGGCTTTAATAGTGGGGTTAGTAAGCACACATATATTGTACCTAAGCATAAGTACGTGAGCAAGATAGTAATCACTGCGTGAAGATATCTAAGAGCAAAGCTCTGTCTTGGTTTACGTGATCTTATGAGGTTGCTATGGCAACCCGTTAGATCTATATTGATAGTTAGATACAGCAATAAGGTCAATGAATATAATACGAGATATATATTATAAACATATATTTTCGCTATTTTGCTGCATTCAGACAACACTTACATATGTTAATCTTTGGGATGAAAATTGCAATATTTTGCTATAATAAGTGACATATTCAATCAAATTAAATAATTTAAAATTAACATTTAATATTTTGCCTAGTCTATTCAGCCAGTATGTCATCATCACATACAGAAATGTACAATATTTAAAACTAATAAATATGACATTTTACATGTAGATCGTTCGGTTTTTAAATACTAAGACCGCGCGACCGCGACTGAGTCGCATCATGTAAATAAAATTCCTTTTCTTAAAATCATCCTAACCTTTGTTGTTATTAAAATAAATATTTAAAAAATTTTTCATTTTAAATTACGTTTGTGATCAGTCTTAAAAGCCATTAGGTATTTGCTGAAAAGAAAATTAGTAATTCAAAAATAGAACGTCGAACATCGAGCCGTCCAATTCGAAATATTTTTTCTTCTTAAAAATATTCACGATCACGTCACCATTAAATCAATTGCGAGGGAAAAAATATTTTCTATTATACAATTTGCCACCGTAAAACAATATGGACAGATTGGAAATAACGAATTAAATTGCGCACTCCGAGGCCAGTCCGATTCTTGTATTCATGTCTGTCTTTATTTAGATTATGATACTGTTTTTACGTTTATTAAATATTAGGTACTTTTTAATTTTGAATTTAGAAACATTGGACTCACCAAATGGAATGTTTGAACGAGAGAATGAAGGTTTTGTATACACTGCTGAAATATCGGGAGCTCAGTAAATATGAATATAAACGTGATTTTTCCTAATTCTACATATAAATGTATTTTATTATGTTAATAGGCAAGCAGCGGTTGGTGCGTGGACAGTATGCCGCGCGCCGGCGCACTTCTGCTGGCGCTAGCGGCTGTCCTGCTCGCCGCAGAGTGGGCGCATGCCTCATACATCGATCCTGGTAATTACTAGTTAAATTGTTACAATTAATCCGGCCACGGTAGTCTAGTCTAGCACACCTATTTACTTCCGATGGTCGCGGGTTCGATTCCTCGCATGGTGCAAACATTTGTATTCATGAGTGTGATTGTTTGTATCGAAAAATAAAATGAATTTGTATCAGTTATCTAGTACTCTATAACACAAGTTTTAGCTTGTTTAACTTGGGTCTAGATGGCGCTGTGTGAATTGTCCTAAGATTATTATTATTTCAGTTAAAATTCCCCAACTTATCAAAATGGCCTTTACAAAGAGTATTTTCAATATGAATTGATAGTATCATTTTCTGGTACCAATTTTTTTATCTTAATATTAATATTACAGAGTCTAACCTAATATCTACATATATAAAATGTTTAATAAAAAGAACGTTCAAAGCATTGTATTGGGTAGCCCGTATAGACCAATACTTTACTTTGTGATATTGTGCAAATTCCAATAAATATTTGTAGTCTAGTATATTGTGTTTGCAATGCTTTGATACTCAATCACGAGGACTAGTAATCAAATATTACTACACATAATAAACCACAAATCGAAAAGAGCAGCGTGGGATGTACGGATATTGTGTTTTAAATGTAGATATTACAGCTACTGATATTTAATCAGGCTATTTGCTATTCAGATAAACAAATGACAAAAGCTCTAGTTACGAATGGAACGGAAGTGTTTCAATGGAAGTACTATATTGATTTTTTTTATAATAATAATATACTAGCTGTGTCCGTGACTACGTCTGCGTGTTTTAGTGGCCTTGACCAAAATAAAGAAAATATATTCAATAATCTAAAAAACCTAAAAAAGCCGAGGAAAAATTTTCAGCGTTTCAGTCTAGCTTCAATACTAACGATTTTCGGGGATCGATATTACGATGGCCTGAACCGAGGTGTTACTGGAGCGGGAACAATGAGTCTTCCGGTAATCACTTCTTCTGAGAAAATCACCCTCATCTAAAACAACCGAGACCAGATGATATTGGAATGATTCAACTAAAATGAAATGTGTGAGAGCGGGTGAATAGAGCCAACGAACGCCGTCCTGTTGTCCGAATACATCGTGTCTGGGATCCTCTTCTGCTTATAAAACGCTTAAGGCATATGAGCGCACTGTAGGTGGATAAAGAAGCATGGTCCTAGGTCCATTAAAACATCCAGACGTTAAGCAGGCGAACAAAGCAACGTGTCTCTTCTCCTTTCTCCTTCCGACTGTCACCAACATCGATCCCATATAATCCAAACCAACGAAAGTAAATAGACGACGTTAATGGGCTAATCATTCCGCTGGTAGGTCGCCGAATAAATGTATAGACTTCAAAATAATGTATCTCGGACATCGATGGACAGTGGCACGAAGAGAATTCCTTAAAATCAAGAATCAGTGTATTTGTTGTCAAGAATCCAGTGTATTTGTTGTAATTCATTGATGACGAGATTTGGTTGGGCATGAACAGCTTGACAATGGTTAAATGAAATCAGAAGACGTACGGTGCAGTTACGGCCATCGAGAATGTAAGGCCACTTTGTATAATCTGGAATATCAGAAGCTCCGACTCTGCCTTGTAAACGGATGACACCCCGCGGATCTAAAATGAGGATAATCTCCTTAAATGGCTACGAGCCTTGAGGGGAACTTGCCTTTCAGTGCTTCTAGCTCTTCATGAAGGGATTCCATCTGACTCTTACGTAATATGTCTTCTTCAGCTTTGGCCAATTCTTCTGCAGATAATGGTATCAATGAAAGACGAGGTGATGATGATGACGATACTACCTGAGATGATGATGACAAATTTCGTCGTAAAATACGTGAATGATGTGTAAAATTCTCGAGCTTCAGTCCACAAGCACCCAAAAATATTTTTAAAGTCTGTGCAAAAGAAACGTTATAACAGTTTGTGTTCTTTTAAAAAATAGTGACTGAAAAAACGAGTAGCTAATAATGCTGCCTGAAGCTCTAGATACATTATGAACCCCGATTCATTACATTACACATATCTTAAACACAAACGTAGGCAAATTTACTAGTGTAATTCAATATGCTCTTTATTAAACTGGTCAAAAAGATATCAATAAGGAATAGGTACTTTAGAATTTAGAAAACTGTTTAAACCGTTGAATCACATTTGCCAAACTTTAGATTGATCATGATCTAGCAGATCGTCTCAATTCATGTTAGAATGCCAAATCTTTTGAATTAGTACTCTACCTTGAATTGTTATTGAAGAGAGAATACCTATGGATCATATAATCTCATGACGTGAGATAATAGGTAAACATATGGAACCTCTAATAAAAAAAATAACCCGAAATCTCTATCTCTATAAAAAAAAAAATTGTTATTTGAGTTTTATGGTAAACTTTTTAAAAGGTTTATGTTTTAAATATTTTAATTGTCTGTAGGTCTGCCGATAACAATCAGCCGTTGCAATTAATAAACAATCAGCCCGATTCCATAATAAACCACTAGTCTGAAACCTGCTGTTTGGGAACCTACAAGTAGTAGTATCTAAATTTTGAATAGTACGATCATGCAGAGAGCCAGATGAATGAGGGTGTTTCAATACACCAAGTGCCTCTAATCTAAACTGGCCCCTAAACAGCACGTTCAGAGACGAACTAAGAGTAGGTTCTTTATCAATAACTCTAGCATGATTAATAACTTCGACGGGTTTAGTTTGACTGTCAAAGACACCATGCAATACCCAACCTAAACTAGTAAGCGTTGCAACTGGTTGTGAACGTAATCCCGACCTAATACCACGTGATACACTAAGGTGCCAATTTTCAGCTCCAATTAATATAGTTGGTATGCCATCATATACCAATTCCTGAGATATATCTGACAAATAATCATACTTAGTGATATCAGAATACCGAACAGTTTGTGATGTCAAATTTAAATTGTCTATAGACCTAGCATTTGCAATAGTAAAAATATCCGATCCGAATTTTCCGCGTATTTTAAAATCTACATATTCAACTTCGTCCTCTCGAACCATACCGCCAACACCCTGTACACGAATATGCCCCTTAGGTCCACTGAGACCTATCCGTTTAGAAATACAGGCATCTATAAGAGTAGCAGTCGAACCATCATCTAATAAAGCCAAAGTTTCGATACTGCCTAATGGCCCTTGGACTACTACCGGAATCATTTTAAGTAAGGCACTATTTGTGT